TCTTTCCCTTCAGGTTAAATTTATAAAAATTGTGGTATGCACGTAAATTTTCCAAAAAACCTGAAGAATCTCTCAACCATCCATAATGCATTTGCCTATCGTCAAATATCCAAATCTCTCTCTCTCTCTCTCTCTCTCTCTCTCTCTCTCTCTGTTGTATGTCAATCAATAAGAATTGTGTGGTATGTATGTAAATCCCCAACCATCCATGATGAAATTGAGTTTCTTAACATGAAATCTTTCTCTCATGTATTGATGCGGGCTAGAAAATTTGCGGCGATAGAGTAATGGATTGTCGTCTTAGGATTGCACAAGAATTCAACACAAACTCAGATAAAAGAAAACAACCAGTAGTGACATCAGAGCTTTCTTCAATCAGACGATGTTTGATGGACATTTCAGTGCCTTAACAATGCCAAAATTCAGCAATCTTGAGCTCACCCAATTCATTTTGTCGAGACGTTCAATTCGACTATAAGTTTGCTAGATTCAACATTCGTTTGACCTTCTAATATGTTTGCAAAGCTTTCAATAGTGATTTAATGACTTGATCTGAGTTTGATTTAACTCGAATTGGACTAATTTTGATATCATTGGATCTGTGTCATCGAGCTGGTCAGTTTGACTATAGTTTGCCAAAATTGGAGCTTTGGATGACTCTTAAATGAAGTTTAAATGTTTCTTACTCAAAAGATTGCCTCCAGATTCGTGTAGGATGATGAGAATTTGTTGATGGCGTATCATACACACACACACATACATACATGCATGCATGGTCCAATGGATATGTATATATATATATATATAGAGAGAGAGAGAGAGAGACAACGTCAACCCGAGATGAAAGAATCAAGAGATCTTGATCGGGTTTGTCATCATTTACCCCACCATCAACATTAAACTAAGGCTATAAATTTCATAACCAAAATTTACGTTTACTACTATACACAAAATATTTATTGGGAGGGATATTAAATCATATAGACCGCCACCTATAAAAAAACTTGAACCGTAGATTTTAAAGTCCTCTCCAAATGAGAGTGAAATCTTTGGATGGTGTTTTATCCACAATCCAATCTATCTTATAAAAACTTGATCGGGAATATTAAACGAAAAAAATTCTCCAAACAAAGAGGCTAGGGCATTAACTTCTCAAAGTCCAAAATCATAGTTCATAATAGAATTACCCCTTCCAAAACAAAAAATTAAGCTTCTATGGACTGTGAAACTTAAAACATCATTGCCAATTCGGTAACATACTAACATTTCAAAAGCATGTATACTCTACTCTGCGAAATGACGAATCAGGTCTGAAAAACATTTCAAAAGGTATCCACGTAGTTTTTATAAGAGCAATAAACATGAATTTGCTTACTAAGCAGGAAAGAAGAGACTCAAAAACTAGGAAGGAAAGCAACACCTTGGAAATGGTAAAATTTAAAACAACACATTTTGTTTTCAAACTCAATAGCCCAAACAGAACCGCCCTGTTCACTTAGAAGCCTCAAACAAAATAATAACAAAGATTTAACGGTGGTATAACTATGGGTTGTGTACTATTTGGTCAAAACCAAAAAAAATCAGGTTCATTTGGTTCAGTTTCAAAATGCATTTTGGTTTTTGTCATGTAAAATCTCAATATTTGGATTTCTGTTATTTATTCGATTTGGATTCATGAAATTGAAACAATATTATACATGTTAAGATATGCAATTCATGGTATATGTTTATAATCAAACTTTAATCAACAACAAAATTTCTTTTTCACAACCAAACCATTTAAACCAAAATTAAATTTCAGTTTGGTTGGTTCAGTTTTATCAAAATTTGATTGGTTTAATTTTTCGGAATTTAATTAAATCTGCTCGACCATTTTATAACCGATTCATCCAAAATAAACAAATGCTCACCCTTAAGCACTATGAATGATGTCGTTGATTTCCTCCTCTGGCCAAGTAGACATTAATAGACAACAAACTTGAGATGATAAAACAATGAGATCATCATTTGCTCTACCATCCCTTTTAAGCTGTGTATGTATTTACTCTTTTAAAATTGACAATATTTTGAGCGAATAGGCTGAATGCCTTTTCCTTTGCTTTCATTCCAATGAATAGTAGTTTGTACAATCATTTTAGGTTACATAATACTCCGTACAATCTAAATTAAGTAACTTAATGAATACATATTTATAATCTAAATATTCAGCTAAAAGGAAAGAATCCGTGCAAATATAATATTTTCTTCTTTGCAGTATTGCGAAGAAGGAAACTCTTTATTCTGTCTGATTTCTTTTATTCCTAATTGATATCCCCCCTCAAATTGATGTTGGCTGGTTAAGAAGCATCAAATTGCTGACAAGGAACCGATGACGTTGTTGAGAAAGAGTTTTAATAAATACATCAACTGTTTGAAGATCAAAAGTGATATGAGGAAGAGATATAGCACCCTCCTCATAGGCTTCTTGAATGGAATGACAGTCCACTTCAATGTGTTTCATGCGTTCATGAAAGACGGAATTAGCAGCAATCTGGATAGCACTAGTATTATCTGCATGAAGAGAAGTAGACTCAAGCTGAGGAAAACCAAGCTCGGTCAGCATGCCACGATGCCAAATGATTTCAGAACAAGCAGAGGACATAGCGCGATATTCTGATTCAGTAGATGACTTAGATACTCGATCTTGTTTCTTTCTCTTCCAAGATATTAAAGATTTGCC